GATTGAACGGCGGCTACATGCACATGGCATATCTCAACTCACTTCTGATGCTGTGAAAGTGATTTGTTATTTCCAAAGATCAAAGGTCACAAACCAGTGGCAAAACACTAAGATCCGACATGGAACCAGCATATTTAGAATTTGAAACACATTCTTTGGCATCACACGCTCTTTTGATGATATATACGGTCGATGAAGCAACATTGAAATCAATGGATGTGAATATGAAGATAGAAAAATGCATGGTCAAGCACAAATCGATCTCGTGTGTTCTTCCACTGCAGACGCTTTGCGCATGAACACCTCTGTCCTCCACGAAACAAGATGCTGCAGTTCCATGGCACAACCTGGCGTCAAACGAAACTGACGCGGAACATATTGAACTAACTTAATATGGATATGAAGATATAGAATCATGCATAGGGAAGCAAAAATTGATTTCAATGACTTCTTTTAGAAAAATAGGCTGAAGGCAGTGAGGTTTGAGAAGTTCCTGTGGGCAGCTGTTAGGCTCTAGGTAATGCCCCCTAGCAATCTGTGCGCTAAGTGTAGACAGATTGCTGCGGCTGCTGGTGATACTTGGTGTGCTGGGTGCTCGAGCTGGGAATTCCTCGGGCGAGAGCTGAGTGCCAGCTGGGACTCGGTGGGAGCCCGTTTGCTGGCAGGTGACCTCTGCCTTACTACTGCCCGCCAGGTTAAAGCCCTGCGTTCTCTGAGCGCTGGCTTGGCTAGGCGTAGTGAGGGGTCTGGTACTGCTGGCGAGAGCCGTGCAGAGCCTGTACTGAGGGAACGCAGCCCAGCACACCGTGAGGTGAGGACTTCCTTGCCGAGGCGACGATCGTCTACGAAGGCACCAGTCACCAAAGAGGAGACAGAAGAGGAGGACGATCCCAACGAGTCAGAAGAGGAGAGTGAGCGCAGAGGGCGTGCAAAAAGCCCTGACCACCGTCCCTTGCCGGACGCAGACCGAAGGCCGCCAGAGCCTGAGGGACCGCCCCCTGGGCATAAGAAAGACTCTGGTACTCACCGTGAGTCTCGACGTGAGCATCAGCGAGAGGACACCCGGAAATCTCGTCATCATCATCATCGAGAAGGCGACCGAATCCGCCGAGGTTCTCATCAGCGTGGAGGACGCAAACACGGCTATGAGTTTTCTGAATGTTACATGGGAATATGTTGCTTCACAGGGAATTCGTCTGGATTTACAACCAAAAGTACGACGGGAGTTTGTTTCTTGCTTGGCCGCATTACCATTCATTCACACGTTCCTTGGTGCTGAGATAGAGCCGGTCATCACAGCCTCAGATGGTTCACATAGAGGCGGTGCAGTAGGCATTGCGAGAGAACTCAGTGCAGAAGGTGAAGATTTTGTTAGACATGCACTGGGGTCGGGGTCTACAAAAGAATCTGGGATATTCATATTGTCTTTGTTCAATGGTATTGGTGGGGCGTTCCGCTGTTATGATATATTGGGATTGAAGGCAGTAGGAATGGCAGCTTTTGACATACATGGACCTGCACAAAGAATTACTTCAAGAAGGTGGCCGGCCGCTGAACTATATGGAGATGTGAGATCTATTGACAAAACAATGGTACAGCAGTGGCTTTTACGATATCCAGGAATTTCTGAAATACATATACAGGGGAGGTTTCCCATGCACAGATCTTTCCTCAGTCAATGCGCTTGGACAAGGTTTAGCGGGGCCGAACTCAAGCCTATTTCATGAATTACCCAGGGTGATCAAACTGGTAAAGAAAACTGTCCCTCGACATGTACTGGTCAAGTATGCTGCTGAGAATGTGGCGTCTATGAAAAAGGAAGAATGCTGTAAGATTACTGCGGAACTGGAAACCTTTCCTTATCATTTGAACTGTGCTGATGCGGTTCCCATGCAACGACCTCGACTTTGCTGGTGCTCTGAGCAACTTGAAGGATCTATTGATGGACTGGAGTTCACTGAGAAAGAGTTTTGGACAGAAGTCTGTGCTGCCGCCCCATATCCAGCAATGGAGGACTGGATAGAGCCTGGTTACGTTTGGAATGGAGGTCTAGACGGATACGTACTTCCAACTGCCCTAAAATCTATTGTGAGGAAACGACCCCTTCCTGTGCCGGCGGGGTTGAGCAGATGTGACAGTGACACATTGGCGCGCTACGAAGCTGACAAGTTCCGGTTCCCTCCATATCACTATTTGCCACGGTTCTTATTTTGGAATGAGGGAAAATGGCGACTAGCAAATAGCTCAGAAAAGGAACTTTTGTTGGGGTATGGCTATGAACACACATCTCTTTGCTGGGCGGCATCATTGATCAAAGGTGATCCTCAGAGATATGAAGATGAGAGGTTATCCCTTTTAGGCGATTGCTTCAGTATATATTCCTTTGTTGTGGTGGCTGCAGCGTTAAGCAGAAACTTTTTGCCGTATATTCACTATGCGCACCTGGCGAAAAGGATGGGGTTAGCGCCAGGAGTCCTGGCCCCTGTACGACTCACTGCCCCTTTAAGTCGTAAACTTCAGTATGGCTTGGCTCTGGGAAAGCGAAAGTGCACTGTGAAAGAACTGAATCAGGTCTTACTCACAAAAACCAACCATACGGGTTCTGACATTCGCTTGACCACTGGAGAAATCATGAATCCCAGGGCTGTGGTGCGTCAAAGCATTTGTGCCGAATGGTGGGATTGGAAACCTTTATTCCGGTTCAGGTGGCAGAGCTATGAGCATATCAATAGTTTGGAGTTGCGTACGATATTGCAAGCTATTCGATACCATGTTAGCCACCGACACTGTTCCCATGTGAGACTCTGCCATGTCACCGACAGTTATGTCTGCATGAGCATCATTGCCAAGGGTAGGACCAGCAGTAAATTACTGGCTCAAACTCTGCGACGTATCAATGCTTATTTGTTGGCCTTTGGAATTTACTGCATTTTAGGACATGTAGAAAGCAGTCAGAATCCGACTGATGAAGCGAGCCGAATTTGATTTCAAGTTTTGTGCGCGCCGGACCAAAGCCGAGCGGGCAAAGGACCGCAAACATGTGTTGCTCTGGGATGCAGCTATCACTAAAAGAACGCAGGAGAGGTACTACACTGGACTTCAGAGATTACTGCCCTCTCTGAAAGGCATAAAATCTAGTCGACATTTGGATGACACAGTGTCTGATTGGATACAAACTATGTGGGAGCAGGGAGAGACACTACATATTGTCAGTGACGCTTTATGTGGTCTTCAACATTACCAACCATGGACGAAAAACAGGATTCCTCTGTCTTGGCGGTGATTTAAGGTGTGGAGGAAAGTTGAGGCACCCAACAGAGCTCCCCCTCTTACAACTGCTTTGGTTGAAAGCTTAATAATGTATGCTGTCGGTCACTGTGATCTTCAGTTTGCCTGCATGCTGGTTTTAGGCTTCTATGGACTTCTGCGGACGGGAGAATTTTTACAAGTCTGCGCTCAGGATGTCATGGTTGGTAAAGCTGTAGCTCTTATCAGTTTGAAAAATACAAAAACGGGCCTGCGCAACTCAGCCCAAGAGACAGTTTCAGTGCATGAGACATTGGCGCTGGATGTGCTCCGTGCGTCTCTTGAAGAGAGCAAAGCAGCAAGGAGGACTAAAGTGCCTTTGTGGACACGATCTGCCGAGTCTTTTAGGAACGCGTTTCGTCACCATTGCAAAGTCTTCGATCTGGGTGAACATAACTTTAGACCTTATTCATTGCAGCGTGGTGGAGCGACAGCCTTGTTTCAATCCACTGGCTCCATGGAGCAAACATTGCTCAAAGGACGCTGGGGATCAACCAAAGTGGCCAAAATATATTTGGCCGATGGCCTATCGTACCTCCCGGGGTTAACTTTGAGTCCCAAAGCCAAGGAGAAGACCCGTTTCTGGTCCCTTTACAATCAACTAAAGCTTGATCGTGCCCCTTAATAGGGGGGGAACGTGGAATAACACCGGCAGTTGTTTCATTTGTTTCATTTCATTTTTTTTCTCTCAAGAAACTTCCTTCCATGGAAGGCCTGTTTGGATGTGATGTGAAAACTCCTACCATGGGGTTCGTGTTTCTTTCTCCTACCATGGAGACTTTCAACGTTTTGAGAGAGAGAAAAGCAAGAACAAAGGGGAGCGTGCAAAATGCACAGCTCCAAAAACCTTGAAGCTCCATGTCGAAAACAAGAGCTGACCTGATGCCTATGACTTCTTTTAGAAAAATAGGCTGAAGGCAGTGAGGTTTGAGAAGTTCCTGTGGGCAGCTGTTAGGCTCCCATCCAACACCCACCCTGGGACACCGGCAGTTGTTTCATTTGTTTCATTTCATTTTTTTCTCTCAAGAAACTTCCTTCCATGGAAGGCCTGTTTGGATGTGATGTGAAAATTCCTACCATGGGGTTCGTGGTTCTTTCTCCTACCATGGAGACTTTCAACGTTTTGAGAGAGAGAAAAGCAAGAACAAAGGGGAGCGTGCAAAATGCACAGCTCCAAAAACCTTGAAGCTCCATGTCGAAAACAAGAGCTGACCTGATGCCTAATCTTCTCCGACAACCTACAGTTCAAAGACTCAAGTCTGATAGTGTCAAAGTAAACTGTTTGTCACTAAGAAGAACACGCATTCTTGGGCATCACGCATTGTTCCTTCCACAGCCTGTTTGCGAATGAAAATCAAGTACAAACAATACTTTTACAGCACCATTTCTGAAAAGAATAAACCAACAGACACTACCAATTGCAATCTTTTTTCTACGCTGCTGTTGCATTCTGAGAAAGTTCTGTTTGCAGAAGATTGCAATCAGTAGATTACAAGCTGCACGTTTGAAATTAAATGGCATTTGGACAACAGGAGGCTACAGTGGCATCGCTCAGACAGTTCTGGTTGCAATGCCAACTGTGTGTCCTCCGTTGCAAATTGAAGCACTACAGCTTAGCGACGCAACGGGAGGCTACAGTGGTATTGCTCAGACAGTTCTGGTTGCAATGCCAGCTGTATGTTCCCGTTGCAAATTTACGCCGCAGCTGAACTTGCGGGAGACATTTTTAGCCTCTCTGTGGTAAGCCACGATGAAATCCACTGCCATCGCACATGCAGAATTGCGATGGCCGTCGCTGCCAGATGGTCAATTTCTGTGTCAGACATCTCAAATTCATAAAAACACAATGTGGTACGCCAAGACATCTTCTCGATCTCTGCATCCGCCGTTTCATTCTTTCCAGCTCTGGGACGCAACCACTTCTTCAATGCTTCAATGGCACCTAGGATCTTGTCTGCTTGCAAACCATATTTGCAATGGTCACCATCTTCATCACCTTGGTGAAACCATCCAGCGTCAACGTAGCGAAGCAATCCAAGCACACGATCTGAAGTAGCGAAGTTAAAGGCACCTTCAACTGAGCGCTCCCAACACTTGTGCTCAGCACGCTGCCTTTCTATCTGGCCGATGTGTTGAAGGGGCAGCATGTTGTGCACCAGTCGCAGCAAATCTTGCACCACTCGAAACACATGAGGCTCCCGATTGACTTCAGGAATTTGCGCGCTGCGACGTGATCTTCTTGATCTCTTCCCTCTGTTCATTTCATATGGCAGCATGTCCTGCGAGCTTTCACGCTGCTCGTAGGTCAGCCCCAAAGGACGATCTGGCCTTTCTGGTCGTGCAAAAAAACCACGCTGCCCCGGCACCACCCGAAACTGCTGCTTCAAGTCCTGGAGACTCTGCTTCATCATGGAGTCTTGCCACTGACCCAAATTCAAGCCACACAAGATAGCTCCGACCCCTTCACGACACACTTCACCCCATGAGTCTTCGGCAATTCTGTGCCAAAAAATCGTGGCAATGTGTCCACTTGGATGCAGACAGTTTGTAATCTCAAAAACTTCAGACGAAGAATTCTGCGATGCTGCCGCCAAGTTTGCACCATGTCTTTTGCAGATGCCAATAGTTTCTTCTCCACGCAACATCAACAACTTCTTTGGTGCAGCCAAGATAAACAAATGCCATTGATCAGAAGCATCGTCTTTAGGACTGCATTTCACAAGCACTTCCACTTCAGATGAGAGATCAGTTCGTGTCAGTTTGCATACCAACAAACTGGACACTTCTAAGAGCTGCGGACAAATTGTCGTGCCCCATTGATTGATTTCCAGAGGTGCCACTGGCGACGCAGCTGCTGCACCATGCACTTTGGATGCAGATTTTGGGTGAAAGGATACGGGAAGCTCGCCTCCTTGTCCCCTGTCTCAGGCTTCACTTGTTCGAGCTGTGTTTCCAGGTCTTGCAAATAAGACGGACTCGGCGATGGAAACCTCCGCGCAAGTTGCCAAGACTCTTTTTGGAAGATATACCATCAGAATGCTAAGTAAAGATGTCAAGATGACATGATGTGAGAAGTAACTATCAACAGGCGAAGATGAAATGTCTAACCATATTATGCAATACCAAGTGCTACCAAGACACCTCCAGCGTGCAGTGCCCATTTCGCCAGTCACCAAAGCATCACGTATCAAAGTTTGCACTTTTTCATACGGAGTTTGCCAGCCATGGGCGATCGCATCGCTTCGGTGGGGCTGCATCAGGTTGCTGTCTTGGTTGATCATGGTCTGCAAAATCCTTTTGAAAGAGCCTCCAACATTTGGATAGTCTGTCATGTCTCGCAGTCCATCCAGATCGCAAAATACCCAGACTGGAGCTGAATGTGGCTCCCTTGCTTCTGCCAGGCCGACATTATCAATCTTGGCATCCCAAGGTAATACATCCTGATGCACGAACCGGAACAGAAGACGCAAAATCTCGACCTGCATCTGAACATAGGATTCCCATGCCTGAGGCGTGCATTGCATTGTCGTGAAGAATGATGTCAATTTCGATTTGCCGGTGAAGATCAACTTCTCTGCAAGCAGGATAGATGCGTCACCTTCTACCATTGAAGAATTTCCTTCAAAAAAATCACCCTCTCTCACACTGGTCTTCTCCAAGAAGATTTGCCCGAAACAATACATCATTTCTTTCTCCACGACGGATTTGTACTTGTCAAATCTATGCTGCTCTGCTCCCCACTCAGCCTTGGTTTTCCCATCTGTCATCATCTTAACTACAAAATTGTAGTTGTCAAGCATGAACACATCTTTGAAGGCGCCGCTACCACAGCGAGAAACATTGTCTCGGATCGTGATATCTCCCTTCTTTCGCGTCGTATCCTGGAGGACCAAAACAACGGTAGCATTGCTAATCTTCTCTACATGCTTCTTTTTTCCAGTTTTGATCCATTCCTTCGCAGTAACCTGCAGCTGCCCTTTCACCAGCTTGAAGTCTTTATATGTAGCCACAGTGGACATGGCGGCGATCGAGTGGGTCGTTGAATGACGTGTTGCAGCTTCAAGTAATAACACATTCATAACAAAGTGATACAAAAGCTTGATGTGAAAGAAATCCAATGTCACCGAAAAACCAAGCAGTCACACGTGCCTGAACGGTACCCGCCTCTCAGACAGTTCCGGTTAAGACAGGTTGCTCCAGCACGTGTGACAATGTAGATGTATGACACGTATGGCAGAAATTGAAATTACAACTGCAGCTTGAGCTAAAACAATGATAGACCTCATTATTGAAAAGCTTGAGCCGGGATCAAGACAAATAGCTCTTGATGCCTTCAACAACTGCAAATGTTCATGCTGCCACAGCCACGATCCATGAGCCAACTGTGCACCGTTTTTTCCAGACGCCAACAGGCGCACAGAAGAAGCAAAACACCACAGACGTTTCCAAGCCTTTGATATCTTTGGAGCTGCAGCACCAGAGTGGCTTATGCCTTGGACATTCACAAGAGTAGCTGCGCCTTGTTGACATAAGTAAGGCAATCAATCATGGCAGCAGCCCAATGTGCGTATACGTCTGGACGTTTTCCGCGCAGGTTCTGCGCATGCATAGGTGAAACGATCTGAGACCTAAGTCCGCAACAGATGCGGCACGCTCACACAGCTCTGGTTGCATGCCGCTGTTGCTCTGAGAGATACCTGCCACCTTTCAATGCGAAAGTATACCCATCTTCACACAGGCAGGATAAATATCTCTGAAACATAATTCCCAAACAGTAGCAACACGCTCAGACAGCTCTGGTTGCATGCTACTACTGCTTGGACGTGAAAGTTACAAGTTGCAAGATGACAACCAGTCCTCAATCTGACTTGGAATCTGGCGAGTCATTTTCCCATCTTCATCTGTCTGTGCCCATTGCCTCACACCCTTCAAAGATGACGTGCAATTCAAATCAAAATTTGCTAACGAGCGATAATATTTCAAACACTGCAAGCAATGAGCTTGCCCGGCATAAAGATATTCATATTCCTCTTGTCTTTCTGGCGTCATCTTTCGTTTCTTTTTGTGCTTGGTATCAAGTTCTGGACAATGAGGTGCAGCACTGCATTGCTCCAATTTCTCATAAGCTTGTATGGAACTTGCTGAGTCACTTTGGACGCTTGATTCTGAATTGCATCTCGCAGCGTGGGTTCTTTTCCCAGGAGCCTGTGACGGTGCATGTGGCAGCTTTGACCAAAAAGTAGGTTTTCCACTGCTGCTGGCATCTGCGTCATTACATAATGCTCGCCACCCTTCCAGATCTCTTGCAATCATGTTCAAACGTGTTGCATATCGTGCAGAAGCATTGACGGCTATGTCCTCTATTTTTCGTTCAGCTTCGAAAAGAGAAACATCTTGAGGAGACACCTGTTTTGCCCCAAGCAGCATGAGGAGGTATAGAAACTTTGAGAGAAAAAGACAAGCGCTTTCATGTTCTTCCACATGCAACCAATCTGCATACTCCAGCATTAGGTCCTGCAATTCCCGCAAGTTTTCTTCCACGAGAACATGTCCACGATTTTGAGACCATTGGATCAGACGCTGAGCGGCTTCTTCCACCTCTGGGAGTGTTGCATGCTCAATGTCAGACTTAACATTCAATTCCCGCAGCAATGCCTGGAATTTCAACTTTTGAACCTCTGCCAAAGTATCTTTGTGCTGTTGCAACATTGCCTCCATGGCTGCATCCAAGCAAGGTTCTAGTTACCACTGACGCTCTACTACGCTGTCTTTTTGCTGTTCCAACATTGCGTCCATGGCTGCATCCAAACAAGCTTCTAGTTACCAAAGTCCACATGTTTTGGCTGCTTCAATGTGGTATCACTTCTCCAACAGCACAGGTTGTAGCAATCACTGCTTGAGCCATAGTACCGGATCGGACGCTGAAAAGCTATCAGATCCAAAGCTTGCAACACCACAATTCAAACACCTCCAAAGATGCAGGCTGAGTTGCAAGCAGAGCTGTGTTGCCGTGCAACCACCATCTCCCAGAAGACCACCAAAGCAGACGAAAGAAAGCTCGCAAATTGCCAAAGAAAGTTTGCAATTTCACTCTGCATGACATTGGCCAATACGCTGCCAGCGACGACAAGAATGAATCAGTTAAAGAGAAGAGAGATGAATTGCTTGACGGCATCATTGAGATTGGCAGGACTTTTCTGAGATGGAGGCCAGTGTCAGTGACTGATTCAAACCCGCAGCCCTTGACACTTTAATCCAGGGACCTGTGTGTTGAAAGTGCAAACCAAAGAAAGTTGGCAAATGGCAACAGCATGATGAAGTCAACAAACCCATGTTTTTATCTCATTCAATGTACCGCTCTGAAAAACTGCCACTGCATTGTAAACAGGTTTCTGAGCGCAGCGCGTGAGATTGCCATGCTTTCTCCTCCTAAACTGCACAACTTCAAGCAACCATGTGGGCTTCGTGACCACAATAAACGCAAAATGCTCCATCAACTTTTTTTTGACGACCAAACAACGTAGACACCATGAAGGTGATGCAACTGCATTCATCGATTTTCTCGCTTTCTGCTACTCGATCCCTGTACCATCAAAGCACTCTGAAACTGCTACATCGCCTTTCAGGTGGGAGCATGTGTTGTGGCTCACACGGCAACATCATACTAGAACAACCAGCACACTACAAATCGTGTGCTTGAAGCCAAGCTTCAACATCCAATGGTATATCAACAGCCTGTCTCCTGCGTCTGCTCCTGCTCGTCGTGGCCCATTGACGGGCCGTTTTTCCGCAGGACACACATTTCACATTAAATCCTTCCATCGAACTATAAAATTCCATGCAAGTCAGACAATGAGCTTGAGCAGAATACAGAAACATGTACTCCATTTTTTTTCTACTGTCAAGACTTCCATGTTTCGCCTCGAAATCGTCCATATGAGGCGCCAAGGAACATGCTGGTGCACCGCTGTCTGCTTGTGGCTGTTGTTGAGATGAAGTTCCTGCACCTGTCTGGTGCTCAGCACCATTGCCCGTTCCTGCATTCCAGTCTTGTGGCAGCTTTCTCACCAATTCGTCCCACGCATTGTTGAAGCGCTGATTGAATGCATTGCACGCTTCCTTCTTGTCATCATCCACGCATTTGTCAGGGTGGTTTTTGCGCAGCAACTCCTTCCGCCGGATCTTCAAGATTTGAAAGTCTTCAAACGTAACAGCATACCAACTAGATGTCTGCAGCTGCAAAACTTCAAGTAACCAACTGATCTCAGCGGTAGCAGCACTCCACATGGCCAAGGCCACAGACGAATTTCAAGTAAGCAACTTTCAATCAGTTTCGGTTAAGGAAGCAGCAACGTCTCAAAACCTACTTGTATGTCCTGTGCTAATTTGAAAGCATGCACCACCCTTCGGACAGTTCCGGTTAGGGCAGCCACAATGTGACAACATATGGTGACATGTAAGCGAATTTTGAATTCAAATATGATGTCTATCAGTTTGCAATTGAGCAGCAGTGGGAAGCGGCTGGAAAAGACTCATCGCCATATGATAACTTCTGCTCATGATGGCACAAACACTTATGCAAGGCAACCTTATCGGACCGCGCCTTTTTCCAGACAACCAACAGCTCTAGATGTCGCTTGTGCATGAAATGTCCAACAGTTCCGTAGCACCAACAATAAACAAATAAAGATATGCGAGGCTACTTTCACCAATTTTGTCTGCCAGACAAGCGACTGCAATCTTGCTCAGACAGTTCTGGTTGCAAAATTGCAACTTCTTTAAAAAATAGGTATCTGCTTGCAAACACCTGACAATAGGCAACTTTGTCTCTGAACGAACTCTTGCTGTTGTTATTGTTGTTGTTGTTGTTGTTGTTGTTGTTGTTGTTTTATCCTTTAAATGATGCCCTGACATTCAGCATCAATAGTGTACAAAAGCGTCCCATCCGGCGCCCGCCCCTCAGCTTCCAAGGGACCAAAGTACTGATACCATCCATCGCCGATGGCTCTCAGCTTCTCCAGCACCTGAAGACGCGCAAACAAACAGTTACCGAACATGCCATGGATGCATTTATTTCGAACAGATTTCTCTTTACCGAACATGCCAAATGGGCGATGCCATGCGTAGTAAATGTGACCTTGTGAGCTCCGATCTCCTTGATGTGCCCTCCTTTAAGATCAGTGTCGCGGCAGCGATGGATGGCCTGCATTTGTGGCTCAAATGGATGCGTTTGAAATGCAAACAAAGAATTGAGATTCCAGCTCAAATCAAAATGTGGCAAAGAAAGACCACCCGTGTCCGGGCCTCTAAAGCAGTACTTTTCAGACCCCATCGATCTTTCCAGTGTGGCTGCACTGCCTGATGTTCCATAAAGATTTTCTGGGCATCAGAAGGTGTCAGGCCAACATACACTGTCAGCGTGGTGCCCGCCATGCTACTTCCTTGCAGCAATGTTGTCGATCTACAGGCCAGAACCACAAAAGCTTCAGAACTTACCATTCTGAAACTGATAGCTTCAACTGCGCAAGCTTGACACAGGCTAGAAAAACCATAGCTCTCGGGCCTGTCCAAACCAGCTTTTTTCTTCTCTTTCTAACTATTTTCTACAATCTTTGGTGTGAGACAATCATTCAAAAGGAAAACAATCTGGTTTGGGTGATTCTCGGACAGTTCCGGTTGAATCCCCCTCCCCGGAACCCGCTCACAAAAATCTGGTTTGGATGATTCTCGGACAGTTCCGGTTGAATCTTCCTCCCAGAGTCCGCTCACTAAGTTGTCATGGCAGCGCCATCACGGCTGACAACATACAGCAACGTCCCGTCGGACGCAAACTTCTCCGCCTCTAAGTTCTTGTAGAAGCGAAACCAGCCATCGCCAAGTCCTTCCAAATTGCCGTTGACCTCAAGTAATGCCACGCACCAATAATATATATATAGATATTATATATATATATTTATACATCTAGAATATTCATATATAATATATACTCATGTTATAGAACTTACAAAAGAAAGCAATGCCTTCCGTGGTGAAAGTCACCGTGTGGGCCCGCACGGATTCCGCATCCACAGCCTGCCCCTCTGACTCCACGCAACGCCGAATTGCCTGGACCAACACGGCAAGAGAGCAAAAGGGCAGGACAGTAAAAAGGAAAGAGAGAAGATGCGAAGACAGGATGATGCGAAGATGAGCAGATGTGCACAAATGAGATGAAGAGGTGAGGATGTGAAGCTGTGAGGAGGTGAAGATGTGAAGATGATCAAATGTGCAGAGGAGCAGATGTGAAGATGGAAGATGTGAGGGTATGAAGATGTCAGGATGTCAAGATGCAAAGCTGAGAAACTGTGAAGATGATAGAAGATGATAGTAGATGACAAAATAAGCACATGTGCAGAAATAGCGATGGCTGACAGAATCCAACTATTTGACTAACAAGTCGCTCAAATGTTTTCAGGATCAAACAAAAATATTTCTGTGAACTTCAAAACATATTCCTAAACAGCCTCTTCCACTGTTGGCTTCAAACCCCAGCGCTGCTTGTATTTTGGCTGGACAGGAAGACGTTGCTGGAACAACCGATCTGCCGCCGCAGCTGTGAGACCAACGTAGGTGAGCAAAGTAGTGCCCGCCATGCGTCCCGGGGCAGCAACAACAAAAGAAAAAGATGTTGGAGCCAAACTGAACATGTTCAGAACTTGCTGCAGACATGCTTGTGTCCAACTTGCTAAAAAGACAACCTCAAGTTCCTAGCAAATCAACGGTTCGGTCCTTCACAGAATGCAATGATGTTGTCCCATTCCAGAACCTGGCATCCAATGAACAACGGCTAGGTGCACATGGAACCAGTGAAGTTTGAATTTGATACACATGGACCACTTGAAACAGAGACTACATGTCTGACTGTTGCTATTCACATGCAAATACCAGCATTTGGAAATGTCCAAGCAAATTACAGTCACTTCAGAATAGCCGATTCCAAAAACAAATGGCCAACCAATGACATCTAACCTTGACCTCGCGGTTCTGCACAACCTTGCATCAAATGAAAGTCAAATGGAACAGATTGATTTCATGATTTGTCCATGAGTGATTTCATACCTATCATCTAATATCCATCAACATCCATCATCCTCATCATCATCCATCATCATTATCATCATCATCATCATTCAAATTCAGTCATCATCAGTCATCACCATCCTCATCATCATCATGATCATCATCATCATCATCATCACCATCATCATCATCATCATCATCATCATCTTCATCATCATCATCATCATCATCATCATCATCATTGGCCAGATCCATCAATACACCATCCAAATGTGTATGAGAACTCGAATCAACGTAGACATTTGTCCCCTGGAAGAAAGAGTTCCAATCCAAACACGAATTTAAAACACAATCATGAATTTGAAACACAACCTGCCAGCGAATGCAAATCAAGCGGACAACAATGCATTCACGGCAGCAAATCCAAGGCAGGAATGCCGAAACAGATGTGCTACAGATGGCCAAGCTGACCAGTCATGAAGTGCAATCACTGCCTGCGATCACTTTGTCAACAAACAATCACACAAACGTCAAAACCAACCATCCATATCTGTTGAGACGTTGATTCACGGCAGCAAATCAAAGGCAGGAATGCCGAAACAGATGTGCTAAAGATGGCCAAGCTGACCATGCAGTCATGAAGTGCAATCACTGCCTGCGATCACTTTGTCAACAAACAATCACACAAACGTCAAAACCAACCATCCATATCTGTTGAGACGTTGAGACAATGAGACACTCTATCTTTTTGTCTGCTAATCGCATGGTTGGCACCACTCCGTGTCCTTGCCGTCATGTTCTCTCTGTCATACAAAATCTTACACATAGTATTCTTTTATTGCTGGCCACTCGGACATTTCCGGCTGCAGCGCGGAAACAAAAATACTACACTGCAACATGCGTTTACTTGATGAGAACAGAACGCATACAACATTGCACTGATGCAGTTACCATACAACTACTGAACTTTTTTCGTGAGAACACATCCCACAACATTCTGCAGATGCGCGCCGCAGCAGTCTGTTGCAAAAAAAAAGCATGCCGACTGCAGCAGTGTTCGTAATAGTAAACATATCAATTCCAGAGATACTTATGTCCTTGCATCAACAACTGAGACATACGTTGCTATACGTTGTTTTTCAAACAGCGAACACCACTGCAGATCACACGACGATCCTACTATTGGAACCTGCGACACTCATCAAATCTTCATGGAGAGTTGTCGAGCAATGGCTTCCTTTTGCTGCCACTGCAATTTGCCCACGTAGGACAATGCTTTCATCTCGTCGAGCTTCGCCTGCTGCTCGAACTCTTTCATCCTTTGCACCAAAAGAGGATTGTGATCATGGAGAAAATGCTCAAACATGTGACGCGGTGGCAAATCAATGATCCACAAATCGTCCAGCTTTCGTGGTCTCGACAGCATGACATAGATCGCCAACGCGTAGTCGGCATCCTTCATCCACGCAGGTTTCGTGAGGAAAGCCACCAACCCGTTTCTCGCCGTGATGCCCTGCAAGCCATAATGCGTCAAAACACAACGTGGCGCCAGTGGAATTTGTTTGCGAATCACAGGCACGGACTGCTTCGGTCCCACTTGCAAGCTCCAGGCTTTGTCCGAGGCAACTGCGCGCAGCAAGACATGGCCCTTGGGGGCAACGTCACCAGGCACCTGAATGTTCTTGTAATTGGGATCGTCTATCTCCACCAACACTGCAACTGGCTGATATCTCAATACAACACAGCCACAGTTGTCGGCGATTGCGGGCTCGCTTGGGTGCAACTTGATGGATCGAACAATAACCGGCGACTCTCGGTTCAGCAGCGGAGCATCCAAAATACAACTGATGCGACAAGGCATACCTTCATACAGAGGACAAATACCAATCAGATAATGAGTTTTGGTCATGTTCACGATCTGTAGTGCTGCCATGCTCTGTTCCCGGGTGAGCTCATTTGGGCCCGTAGCTCGATCAATGGCCTGAACGAAATACACAGTCTTCTTCAATTCTTTGCCTTCCAAACCGACGCGAAGATGTTGAAGACGAGCTACTTGCTCCCAAGCAAGACCTCCCCAGTGAGCATCGAGCAAACGCTGCCGCAACTCATCCGCCTGCAACTCCTTCTTGCCATAGGCCCTGGCCTCAAGGGCCGCCCACAGATCGTCCGACATCTCCTTGCCTTCCCGCATGGACTTGAGGATCGCCACTAGCTGCTGCCCAGATGGACACTCCGAAAATCTCCCAGACCCAGTGAAGTGAACAACCCGCTGCAAAGAGTTCTTGAACATGATGCGGCCCAACTCAGCGGCATTACTGGTGTGCTGTGCAGCTTCATTCTCAGGCAACTCCTCTTCATCACTTGACCGGCCATCGACGTGTGCATTGGTGGCACGCGGAGCATCATGCCACTCGCACAGCGAGCGCTGTGCTGTCGGCCGCAGTTGCAGAAAGTCGCCAAGCTGGACACCAATTGGAGCTCTACCATACCACTGCTCGAGATAGCGACCCATATCCAACATCATGCGTTCCTGTCGCAGCAAAGAAAACCGAAAGCCAGCAGCATGATAAACATCAGGAGGATTCATGGACAGTTCATCGAGCAATCCGGCCATGACGTCCATGAACTGCCTTTGCTCTTGGCCGACCGGAGAGAACGTCGGTCCAGCCCACTGTTCGGGCTCACATTCGCCCACTTGTGCAATGTCTTTGCTTCTGGACCCAAGAGACGAACAGCTGCATGTGTTGGCGCCCCAACAATGTAACCACCATCACCGAAGTAACGCCGGAACATTGGTCGCAAGATTTTGGAGTAGGCGTATGTCTTGCCAGAGCCACCAGCGCCCAACCAAAGGCAATTGCAGCTTTCGGTGGCTGCGCCATCTGCCAAAGACGACTGTGGATTGGAACGATTCAGCCACATCTGCTCCATGACCCAAGCAATCGGAGCCACTGCCAAAATCTGTTGCCGATTGAGGGTGGAATTGACGACAAGCTCCGCAGCATAGTCTCCTGGACCGATGCATTGAGCGTTGAGTGCAGCCAAAAATGGATCGATGGCTTGTTCCAAAGGCTCAAACTGCTGGTCTGGCATCTTCCTCCTCCAAACCTACATTGCAACAATTTCGATCACAAGGTGAAACGCAACCAAACAAACCGCAAGAAAACAAGCAAATCACTCGAAGACACAAAACACGATGCGCCAAGAAAGGAACCACCCCCGGCCTCCAGCACAAAACTCCAAGTACTGCTTCTGCAAAGCCATGCCTCTCTCAGCATCTGCCGCAGTCCAGCTGCGCTCGACACCAGCCACACCGCTGCTTCGAATGCCCATGCCTCTCCTCACATCTGGAATTCCTCCAAGTGCATTGACAAAGTCACGAAGATGTCGCAAGGTGTCTTTCAAAATAGTTGCACGTGGATTGCTCAAGACGCGCATCCAATCCTGCTCTCGAAACATCGCTTCATGCAAAGCCTCATGATCCACAACGTACTGAGCCCGTTCCAGCCGCTCCAACTCATCCTGACGCCGCAGATCATCTTCAACTTCATCTCCTTCGATGTCAGGTGGAGCACAATCATCCTCAATGTCGTCGTCTTCCAGCTTTGTCATCAGAGCAAACCGCTCTGCCCGTCGACGACTGCTGCTGAGCCTGCGTGCAGCGTGATGTTGTTCAAAGCGCTCCATCCAGGCTGTCTGGATGATAGAAAGATACTCCAAAGGCGACAGCTGAGTGTAGTGATATGGTGGCCTCACATCAAGATACCAAGCAATGCGCTCCAAAATCCGAGGAACGTCATGAAATCGGCAGTCCCGGGGCCGCAGTTTTCGATGCAAGACACACATCAAAGTTGCCACAGTCTCCCCATCATCGCTTGCTGAAGAACGAGGGAAAAATTTGCGGACAGTGCTGACATCTCGAATCACTGGCGAAGACAATCCTGCCAACATGCGCTCCTGCGCGGTCTCTCTGCGAACCAGCATGCATGCTTTCCAATGTTGCCACTGCGGCACAAATCGAGCAAAAATCATCCCTTCCTTCTCATTCTTCTCCAAAATGTGACACGCAAAGCACTTGTAGGAATTGCTGCAATCACCAGTACACGTCGGAAAGGGGAAACACAGCCCGAGCATGTGTGCAGCATATTTTTGAGGCTCCGCTTCCTGTGGCAAATGTAAATCAGACGGCACAACCACGTTGTCATCAGCAGCTCTGACTTCCTGAAGGAATCAAAACTTCCACACGCATGAAAAACAACAATTTCTTCACAACACTTACTTAACATCATGCACAAAAGATTCACAAGTTGTGTTTTCGCCCAATGTCCTGCACCGACTCTTTATGATGTGGATAATGCTCGTCGAATGCAAAAATCTTCACTCCATCAACTTTACCAGCCTTTGCGCGTGGAACACGACGCACAAACCTCGAGTACATCGCCAGTGACATGCATTTCAGCAATGTGGAAGAGCCACGATGCAAATAATCATCTTTCTGATTGAAGTGCACTGGAACTTGCGTCACTCGGGTCCCATCGCCCTCATCTTCAATCACTTCTGCAATCTCATCCACAGCGACTGGCACGTCCTCCACATCTTCGACAACATCAACTGGACCCGCGATGAGATGAGGTGCGTCGGCCAGTGCCGCTGCAATTGCATCTGCCCTGCACCGCATGATTGCAAATGGCAGATACCGAAAAAACATGTTGTAGCCACGATATGTGACGTACTGTTCTTGTTCAAAGAGCAACTGATACGCCATCTCCCCGTTTGACTTGGCGATGCAGCGATTCATTCCGAAGGCCAGACGACGCAAGATACTCAGCGCACGACTTTGTGGCCCACTCATGCCAGGCGTCTTCTTTGCATCCACGTTCTCCATGTTGGCATCTTCCACGGCGGCCTGCTGTCGCTTTGCTTCTTCCTCTTCCAATCTCTGTACTCCTGCCATGTGTTCAACACAACCAGCAAACATTAACAACAACAGCAACAACAACAACAACAGCAACAACAACAACAACAACAACACCAACAACAGCAACAACAACAACAACAACGACAACAACAACAACAACAACAACAACACCAACCAGAAAGAAGAAACATCAAAAGATAATAACAACAAAAGCAGAAAACAACAAATACAACAGCAACAACGAGAATAGCAACTACCACAACAAGAATAACAATGACAAAGCAAACTAGAAGTGTAACCACACAGATCCTGCCTGCATACAACTCCGGCAACATGCTCCGAGAAATCTCGAATTTTTTGGCAGCATATTCACCAGTGTAAAAGCCGACGTTTTGCATATCCCGTGACATATCGATAAGCACCCGTTCCAAAGCCATTTTCATAGTATGCATCCTCTTGGACTCTGGAACAATTTGACTTAAGACAGTTGTCTCCCTTCTCTTCAACACTGAGTCTTGCGCGGCAGTCCCACCCGTGTCCTGTTGTGCCACATCCATGTCGCTCGGACGCGCTCGGACAGTTCCGGTTGCAACGATCCAGCTACAGGCTGTGGCACAACAGGACACAAGTGAGCTTGTTCGTGCACCCCAGCAGTGTGTGACTCATCAACGTCCGATGAAATGCTCCCATCGCAAAACTTGCTCAAATCCTCTTCAGCAAATGCACGACCAATGTACTTCACATCAACGTTGCAGCGCATGACAACTTGAGCCACTGGATTCGACATGCCTTCAAAAGGATGATCCCGCTGAGCCTGAAAAACATGCGGGTTCTCATTCTTGAATTCCTCTTGTCGTGCCAAATCGTCAGTTTCATACTGTAGCCTTGAAAAACACGCCTTCTGCACGCGTGGCCATCCTTTTTTACAAATCGTTTTCTGCTTGCCTTCAGCGTCCTTGATCAATTCAATGTGAAAACAACCAAAGCGACATCCACGCTTGCCTTTCACAGCTTTCCTCCGTGGCAAAGATGTGAAACAGAATAATTACGAACAAACTAAGCTGAACAAAGTAAGCAAAGTAATAACAACACACTGAAGCAAAAAACTCCCCATAACAATTTTGCAAACCCAAAGCTGTGAAATCATCACCAAGACTCTTCTTGAAACATGATTTCGTGCATTTGTGGAAATGATTTTGTATCACCAGTCGTCTGTAATCTTCACAAAACTTTCGTTTCCAAACTTCACCATCATCCAAACCTTGCTCCTCCCGGCGCTGATAACTTGGCCTCAACGACACATCACAGCCTGTCAATGTCCGGCCACCACTCTCCTCCAATTCATGCCCATCTGGCTCAGTTGGCAACAGTGCGGCGCTCTGATACTGTTGACCACATTCTGAACGTTGCCGCTCGTTCAAAGGAAGTGGCTGCTGCGGCGTTCCCAGTTGCTCCGCCAGGACAAGCTGTGAGTCGTATTTGAAACGTTGCACGGCGTCAAGCACGCGTTGACTCCAACGCCTCAGCTCGGTCACCAGCTCGCCATGCTGAATGCGAAGCATGATGCTACGCAGCCGGTTGCCTAAATCATGGCCCAGCAGAACAATCAAAATGTGAGGATGGAGAGATCCGCGTCCTTGTGTTTCCAAAGGGCCACTCAGCGCCGCCACATCTCCAAAGACACCACCTTGCAAGGAGCTAGCCATGCCATCTTCAAAGGTTGCGTGCAAGCCCGCTCGATAGCTTTCGCGCTTCAGCGGCGGCAGGATGCCCAGGACCTCCTCAAAGAAAATGTCCATCATGAGGGCAAAGCATCGAGCTTGAGACACCGGGTCCATTGCGACGATCCGTCGCATGGCCGCTGCGGTGGGCATGCTTGGCATCTCGTTGCTCCAGTCGAGTGCCACCTCGCAGTCCTCCACCGTGCCATCGGCGCCTTGCAGATGTAGTTGTAGAAGCAACGGCGAGCGAATGTCTGCGAGGTTGGGGGTGACGAGCAAGTGCGCCGACCCGTAGTGCCATCTAGCTGCATGACCTCGTAACCTGATCTGGCTTCGGTGACCTTCCATGCCGATAATGCTGGATGTGGCTTGTAGAACTCCACCCAAGGCACGCTTCAGCGATGCGTCAATGTTCGGGTCTCGGAGCAACTCTCGCACATCGGCGTTGTCGCCATGGAGTGCCATGGCTTTCAGGAGCTGCTCCGTGCTCACTTCCGAGATCACCCGACAGTGCTTGCCAAAGCCGCGGCGCATCACATGTGCCTTTGTTGCTCACATCAAGTGTAGACGTCGATGAACGTCATACATCACAGGAAGCAAAGTTTCCTTAGTTCCATCATCACCAAACATGTCACTTTTTTTTGAGGCCACTACCAACAAAAACAAAACACATTCCACTACTGGCCACAAAACAATATATACCAGTAGTACCCGCACGAGGCGGGGCGGAAGTTGCCTAAGAGATATATCTATATATATAAGACCTTTCTAATCTATAGAACTTGCATGCGCTGTGCGCCAGCCAAGCCCGTGCGTGCGTGCACTCTGCGAAAGTGGTGTCCTGTTTCACATGTCACATTTGAAGCTCCACTTCGCACTTCACACTTCTCACTGCACTCTTCACACTCTTCACACTCTTCACACTCCACACTGCACGCTTCCCACTGCACACTCCACACTTCACACTTCACACTCCACACTTCACACTTCACACTCCACACTTCACACTGCACTCTTCTTGCCCCACACTTCACACTGCACCCTTCATCTCACCTGAGCTCATCTCACCTGAGCTCTTCTCACCTTATCCCAGCTCATCTCTTCTCATCTCATCTCTTCTCATATGTCAGCTAAGCTTTCATGAATCACTTCCCAGTACTACTACTAAGGAACTTGCATGCGCCGTGCGCCAGCCAGGCCCGTGCGTGCGTGCTTTGTGCGAAGCTGTTGCCGTGTTGCTGTCCAAGAACATGACCTGCGCGTGACCCCGGTACAATGCAAACACTTTCCTCACACTTCACATTGCACTCTCCACACCCCACACGCCACACTTCACACTTGCACTTCATCTCAACTCATCTCATCTGAGCTCTTCTCATCTCATTCCATGTCTTCCCATATGTCAGCTAAGTTCTTCTTGGATATTTTCATGTCAAGTACTTCCCAGTACTGATGTCTACTACAAAAGCTTGCACAAAGCACTTCCCAGTACTACTTTGTACTACAAAGCTTGCACAAAACACGTTCCAGTATTACTTTGTACTACAAAGCTTGCACAAAACACGTTCCAGTACTACTTTGTAGTACAAAGCTTGCACAAAACACTTCCCAATACTACTTTGTACTACAAAGCTTGCACAAAACACTTCCCAGTACTACTTTGTACTACAAAGCTTGCACAAAACACGTTCCAGTACTACTTTGTACTACAAAGCTTGCACAAAACACGTTCCAGTACTACTTTGTACTACAAAGCTTGCACAAAACACGTTCCAGTACTACTTTGTACTACAAAGCTTGCACAAAACACGTTCCAGTACTACTTTGTACTACAAAGCTTGCACAAAGCACTTCCCAGTACTACTTTGTACTACAAAGCTTGCACAAAGCACTTCCCAGTACTACTTTGTACTACAAAGCTTGCACAAAACACTTCCCAGTACTACTTTGTATTACAGAGCTTGCACAAAACACGTTCCAGTACTACTTTGTACTACAGAGCTTGCACAAAGCACTTCCCAGTACTACTGTGTACTACAAAGCTTGCACAAAACACGTTCCAGTACTACTTTGTACTACAAAGCTTGCACAAAGCACTTCCCAGTACTACTTTGTACTACAAAGCTTGCACAAACTACTTCCCAGTTCTACTTTGTACTACAAAGCTTGCACAAAACACATTCCAGTACTACTTTGTACTACAAAGCTTGCACAAAGCACTTCCCAGTACTACTTTGTACTACAAAGCTTGCACAAAGCACTTCACAGTTCTACTTTGCACTACAAAGCTTGCACAAAACACGTTTCAGTACTACTTTGTACTGCAAAGCTTGCACAAAACACGTTCCAGTACTACTTTGTACTACAAAGCTTGCACAAAACACTTCCCAGTACTACTTTGTACTACAAAGCTTGCACAAAACACTTCCCAGTACTACTTTGTACTACAGAGCTTGGACAAACTACTTCCCAGTACTACTTTGTACTACAAAGCTTTCACAAAACACGTTCCAGTACTACTTTGTACTATAAAGCTTGCACAAAGCACTTCCCAGTACTACTGTGTACTACAAAGCTTGCACAAACTACTTCCCAGTACTACTTTGTACTACAAAGCTTGCACAAAACACATTCCAGTACTACTTTGTACTACAAAGCTTGCACAAAACACTTCCCAGTACTACTTTGTACTACAAAGCTTGCACAAAATACTTCCCAGTACTACTTTGTACTACAAAGCTTCTACACACATCAAGTTCTTTCGCAGAGAAGCTTGTACACACAGAAGCTTTTACACACAACAAGCTTCTTCACAGAGAAGCTTTCACACACAGCAAGCGTTTACACACAGAACACTTACACACAGTGCTTTTACACATGGCAAGCGTTTACACACACAGCAAGCTTTTTAAACAGAGAAGCTTTTACACACAACAAGCTTTTACACAGAGAAGCTCTTATACACAGCAAGCTTTCACACACAGCAAGCGTTTACACACAGAACACTCACGCACAGTGCTTTTACACATGGCAAGCGTTTACACACACACAGAAACTTTTACACAGAGACGCTTTTACACACAGAGAAGCCTTTACACACAGCAAGCTTTTACAGAAAAAAAATTGCACAGAGAAGCTTTCTTGTACATAATCACAGCAGGAATTGCAGCTCCAAAACTGGATCTCGACGCCAAAGCGACAAAAAGACGATTTTGAAGCACTTCTTAAAACGAATTTTAAAAGGAAAATTATTAGCGCCAAAATTGAGAAAATCTGCTGACAAATCACTTTCGCAGCCTTGATGCAGCCATTCCAATACGATTTACGATCTTCAGCTGCAAAAGACAATAGTATTACGCATGCAGCCGCTGCACCAAGCAACCTTGACGCAGCCACTACCATGCGATCTGCAGAGACTGAGTTGCAAAACACAATAGAACTACGTGCAATGGCGTCGGAAATTGCAGCTCCAAAACCGGATCTCGACGCCAAAGCAAAAAAAAGACGATTTTGAAGCATTTTTTAAAAGGAATTTTAAAAGGAAAATTACTAGCGCCAAATTTGCAAAAATCTGCTGACAAATGACTATCGCAGCCTGGATGCAGCCACTCCAATACGATTTACAATCTTCAGCTGCAAAAGACAATAGTATTACGCATGCAGCCGCGGCGGCAAGCAACCTTGACGCAGCCACTACAATGCGATCTGCAGAGACTGAGTTGCAAAACACAATAGAACTACGTGCAATGGCGTCGGAAATTGCAGCTCCAAAACCGGATCTCGACGCCAAAGCGACAAAAAGACGATTTTGAAGCATTTTTTAAAAGGAATTTTAAAAGGAAAATTACTAGCGCCAAAATTGCGAAAATCTGCTGACAAATGACTATCGCAGCCTGGATGCAGCCACTCCAATACGATTTACAAGCTTCAGCTGCAAAAGACAATAATATCACGCATGCAGCCGCGGCGGCAAGCAACCTTGACGCAGCCACTCCAATGCGATCTGCAAGCACAGATTCCAAAACACCCTATAACTACGCACACACAAGCACACCCAAAGCAGCTTGAAGCCACCGTCACACTGCGGCAAAAAAAAACGATAAACCGACCCCAGCCGCACCCGTCGCACAGACGAGGTACCTTTCATCGCCGGCTGCAGCCACTTTACACGGAAAAACACAAGGTTTCGTGCTCCGGCTTCCTCCCCACAACAAAGCCCATGCAACATTGATGCAGCCATTACAATGCGATTTGTAAGCACAGATGCAAGAAACGCATAGAACTACGCACACAGACACAACCACTCATTGCAGAACACAGAGGAGGAACCGATTGACCTCGAAACGATCCAAACCGCAACCGTCGCACACACGAGGTACCTTTCATCGCCGCCTGCAGGCACTTTACACGGAAAAACACAAGGTTTCGTGCTCCGGCTTCCTCCCCACAAGATAGCCCATGCAACATTCATGCAGCCATTCCAATGCGATCCACAACCAGAGATTCAAGAAACGCATAGAACTACGCAGACAGACACAACCACTCCTTGCAAAACACATAGGAGGAACCAATTCGCGCATGAAACGACCCCAGCCGCACCCGCCGCACACACGAGGTACCTTTCATCGTCGGCTGCAGCCACTTTATACGGAAAAACACAAGGTTTCGTGCCCCGGCTTCCTCCCCACAAGATAGCCCATCCAACCTTGACGCAGCCATTCCAATGCAATCTGCAACCAAAGATTCAAGAACCGCATAGAACTACACGCACAGCTCACAACCACTCGTTGCAAAACACATAGGAGGAACCAATTCGCGCATGAAACGACCCCAGCCGCACCCGCCGCACACACGAGGTACCTTTCATCGTCGCCTGCAGCCACTTTATACGGAAAAACGCACGGTTTCGTGCTCCGGCTTCCTCCCCACAAGATAGCCCATGCAACATTCATGCAGCCATTCCAATGCGATCCACAACCAGAGATTCAAGAAACGCATAGAACTACGCAGACAGACACAACCACTCGTTGCAAAACACATAGGAGGAACCAATTCGCGCATGAAACGACCCCAGCCGCACCCGCCGCACACACGAGGTACCTTTCATCGTCGCCTGCAGCCACTTTATACGGAAAAACACAAGGTTTCGTGCTCCGGCTTCCTCCCCACAAGATAGCCCATGCAACCTTGATGCAGCCATTCCAATGCAATCTGCAACCAAAGATTCAAGAACCGCATAGAACTACACGCACAGGCACAACCACTCGTTGCAAAACACATAGCAGGAACCAATTCGCGCATGAAACGACCCCAGCCGCACCCGTCGCACAGACGAGGTACCTTTCATCGTCGGCTGCAGCCACTTTACACGGAAAAACAAGGTTTCGTGCTCCGGCTTCCTCCCCACAAGATAGCCCATGCAACATTCATGCAGCCATTCCAATGCGATCCACAACCAGAGATTCAAGAAACGCATAGAACTACGCAGACAGACACAACCACTCGTTGCAAAACACAGGAGGAACCAATTCGCG